CAACAAGGTGCAGGGCTGGATGAACACAGCAGGCCAAGCAGCATCATGGGAGTAGAAAGGCTGACGTTTCGGGCCTAGACCCTTCATCAAAAAAGCTACTCCTATGATGCTGCTTGGCCTGCTGTGTTCATCCAGCCCTGCACCTTGTTGTCTCGGATTCTCCAGCATCTGCAGTTCCTACTATCTCTAACTCTGAGACACAGTTGCTGCTGTGTTGAGGCAGGAGCCGTCGTCGGGATGGAGTATGCAGTTGGAGCTGTCCACCTTGGACTGATCATTGTGTTTCATTTCAACCCCTTTCAGGTTACACCCCTGTTTGGGGGTCAGGAAGGCCCATTGATGTTGACCACTCGATCTCCCAGTACACAGGGGGAATTGTGAAGGTAAGTTGCTGCCCTGTCAGGCAGCAATGGACATCCCAGGTTTAAGTGAGGAATTCTCTGGGAAAGTGGACAAGTCTACGCTGGTCTGCAGTTGCTGCACTGTAATTCCACACTAGGGGGTAGTAGAGGACAGTTGCCTCTGGTCAGTGCCATTGCACCCCTCTGTGTTTTTCTATTCATTTTGTGGGATGTGGGCGTCACTGGCTGGGCCCAGCATTTAGTGCCCATCCCTAGTTGCCCTTGAGAAGGTGAGGGTGAGCTGCCTTCTTGAACAGCTGCAGTCCACCTGCTGTGGGTTGACCCACAATGCCCTTAGGGAGGGAATTCCAGGATTCTGACCCAGCGATAGTGAGGGAACAGCGATATATTTCTGAGTCAGGATGGTGAGTGTCTTGGAGGGGAACTTGCAGGGGATGGTGTTCCCATGTATCTGCTGCCCCTGTCCTTCTAGATGGAGGTGGTCGTGGGTTTGGAAGGTGCTGTTTGAGGATCTTTGGTGAATTTCTGCAGTGCATCTTGTAGATAGTACACACTGCTGCTACTGAGTGTCAGTGGTGGTGGGAGTGGATGTGGTGCCAATCAAGTGGCTGCTTTGTCCTGGATGGTGTCGAGCTTCTGGAGTGATGTTGAAGCTGCACCCATCCAGGCAAGCGGGGAGTATTCCATCACACTCCTGACTTGTGCCTTGTGGATGGTGGACAGGCTTTGAGGAGTCAGGAGGGGAGTTACTCACCGCAGTATTCCCAGCTTCTGATCTGCTCTTGTAGTCACTGTGTTTATGTGGTAAGTCCAGTTGAGTTTCTGGTCAATGGTAACCCCCAGGATGTTGATCGTGGGGGATTCAGTGATGGTAACACCATTGAATATCAAGGGACGGTGGTTAGATTGTCTCTTATTGGTGATGGGCATAGCCTGGCATTTGTGTGGCATTAATGTTACTTGCCACTTGTCAGCCCAAGCCTGGATATTGTCCAGACCTTGTTGCATGTGAACATGGACTGCTTCAGTATCTGAGGAGTCACGAATGGTGCTGAACATTGTGCAATCATCGGTGAACATCCCTATTTCTGACCTTATGATGGAGGGAATTTCATTGATGAAGCAGCTGAAGATGGTTGGGCCCAGGACACTACCCTGAGGAACTCCTGCAGAGATGTCCTGGAGCTGAGATGACTGACTCCCAACAACCACGACCATCTTCCTATGTGTCAGGTATAACGCTAACCACCGGAGTGTTTGCCCCCGATACCCATTGATTCCAGCTTTGCCAGGGCTCCTTGATGCCACACTCGGTCGAATGCAGCCTTGATAATTGGGCTGTCACTCTCCTCTCACCTCACCTCTGGAATTCAGCTGTTTTGTCCATGTTTGAACCAAGGCCGTAATGAGGTCAGGAGCTGAGTGGCCCTGGCGGAACCCAAACTGGGAGTCAATGAGCAGGTTATTTCTGAGCAGGTGCTGCTTGATAGCACTGTTAGTGACACCTTCCATCACTTTACTGATGATCAAGAGGGGACTGATGGGGCGGTAATTGGCCGGGTTGGATTTGTCCTGCTTTTTATGTACAGGACATACCTGGGTAATTTTCCACATTGTCGGGTAGATACCAGTGTTGTAACTTTACTGGAACAGCTTGGCTAGGGGAGCACAAGTCTTCAGTACCATTGCCAGAATGTTATCAGGGCCGGTAGCCTTCGCAGTATCCAGTGTCTTCAACCGTTTCTTGATATCACGTGGAGTGAATCGAATTGGCTGAAGACTGGTATCTGTGATGCTGGGGACCACTGGAGGAGACCGAGATGGATCATCCACTCGGCACTCCTGGCTGAAGATTGCTGTGATTGCTTCATCCTTATCTTTTGCACTGATGTGCTGGGCTTTTCCATCATTGAGGATGGGGATATTTGTGGACCCTCCTCCTCCAGTGAGCTGTTTAATTGTCCACCACCATTCACAACTGAATGTGGCAGGACTGCAGAGCTTAGATCTGATCCGTTGGTTGTGGGGTTGCTTAGCTCTGTCTATCACTTTCTGCTTCCGCTGTGTGGTGTGCAAGTAGTCCTGTTTGGTGGCTTCACCAGGTTGATACCTCATATTCAGGTCTGCCTGGTACTGCTCCTGGCATACCCTCCTGCACTCTTCATTGAACCAGCGTTGATCCCTAGCTCCTGGCATGCCCTGTCTGTCTGTCTCTTTCTCTGCATGTCTCTCTCTCGGTCTCTCTCTCTCCCCGTCCATCTCTCTCTCTCCGTCCGTCTCTCTCTCTGTCTGTGCCTCGCTGTGGCACTAAGGGACAGGGATCGGGAGAGAGGGTTGGGCTGCTGAAAGGCTGTGAGGATGACTGGGGGAGTTGGGAGTACAGGAATCGGTTGTGGGATGTCAAGGGAGGATTTTGAGGCTGGAAGCAGTCGTTGTCTTTCTGTGCACCTTCCCCTCCCCCGGTTGACTGCCTGGACCAAGATGTGCAACTTTCTGTTGTTTCGTGGAGATGGAGAGCAGAATGGGGAAGTTGCTGGTTGTCACATCTCACCATCTCTCTGCTTCCCCAGGTGGAGAAGGACATGACTGATGTTAGCCTTGGACCCACTCCCATCCCAGAGCTCACCCACATCATGATTGGGCTGGAAAGCTGCTCCTTTCTGGTGAGTCCCATCTTCTCTCTCTCTCACCCAGTACTTTTGGTCTCTTGGTGATTTTGGGATGTCATCACAGTGAGAGTTCACAGAGTTGGGAATTTGAGATCAGTTTAATTATTGAAATAAAAATCATCAATCAGCAACAGTGGCCATGAGCTGTTGAATTATCATAAAAACCCAAGTGGCTCACTCACGATGTGGAGGGAGGGAAATCTGCTGCCCCTCTCTGCTCTGAGTGTACGTGACTCCAGTCTCCCACCAATAGACACTGGCCCTGAGCGGGCTGTACGGTTTATATCAAACTGACTAGAACATGTCTGACTGCCACTACCTCACAGTGTCCAGGGATAGGCAATAAGTGCTGCTGTTCTGAGTGTTGGCCCCAGCCCAGGAGGTTTTTAAAGTTAGTCCCTGTGCCTTGAGGTAGGGAGCCCAAGTCTGACCTGCCTTCGTGAGCTGCTGCTGCAGAGCAACCCATTGGGCTGTGTAAATGTGTGAAAGCAAGGTCAGGTCCACTGTGTTGCTCCTGGAGTCTACTTTCGCCACAGACTTTCAGGTGTTAATCCTTGGATTTAAGGTGAGAGTCGATACAAAATGGGATGGCTTTCTCGATTGCAAGTGAGAGGCAAGGCCTGGTCATGCAGTTACAGGGATCCACAGAGATTTTTATCGGGCCTTTGTGGAACAGCAAATTGTTCTCTGGGATAATGGCCCAGATCTTTCCCCTCACAGGATGATTCCATCAAACTGAGTACATGGGAACAGAGCTTTGTTCTGAATCACTAGAAAATAGCTCCGTCTGCTCTCTCTCACTGAAGTTAGAGCTCCCTCTGCCCCAACAAACATTCTCAGGACAGGGCTGGTACAGGGTTTAATCCACGTTGGGGTAGGGGTGGCTGTAACAGACGATGAGATTGAATTGATTTCTGTACTTGGTTTCAGGAGGATGATTTCATCCCCTTCGCTGTGCTGAACATGATGATGGGTGGTGGTGGCTCGTTCTCAGCCGGAGGTCCAGGGAAGGGAATGTTCACCAGACTCTACCTCAACGTCTTAAACAGGTCAGAACCCCGAGATGTGGGTGGCGTGGGGAGGGGTCTACAGGACGCTGGTGGCCTGGCCCTGCACACAGGCTGCTGTGTGGGACGACTGGTGTTAGAACTCCAGAGTCTGGGGTGTGTGTGTGAGGGAGTGTCTTATTTCCCTGAGTGTCAGCTTTGACAGAAACCCCTCTCTGCCCACTACATGGGGAGCGTAAGATCAGAGCATAAGAGCCAGGAGCAGGAGCACACCATTTGCTCCACCATTCAATAAGTTCACGACTGATCTTTTCATGGGCTCAGTTCCACTTACCCACCCGCTCACTATAACCCTTAATTCCTTTACTGTTCAAAAGTCTATCTATCTTTACCTTAAAAACATTCAATGAGGAAGCCTCAACTGCTTCACTGGGCAGGGAATTCCACAGATTCACAACCCTTTGGGTGAAGAAGTTCCTCCTCAGCTCAGTCATAAATCTGCTCCCCACTATTTTGAGGTTATACCCCCTAGTTCTATGTTCACCCGCCTGTGGAAACAACCTCCCTGCTTCTATCCTATCGAGATATACCCTTCATAGTTTTGTATGTTTCTATAAGATTGCCCCTCAATCTTGTAAATTCCAATGAATATAGTCTCGGTTGACTCAACCTCTCCTCATTAGCCAACCCCTTCAACTCTGGAATCAATCCAGTGGATCTCCTCTGCACCCCCTCCAGTGCCAGTACATTGTTTCTCAAGTAAAGAGACCAAAGCTGTACACAGTACTCCAGGTATGGCCTCACCAACACCCTATACAGCTGCACTGTAACTTCTCTGTTTTTAAACTATATCCCTCTAGCAATGAAGGACAATATTCTATTTGTCTTCTTAATCACCTGCTGCACCTGCAAACCAACTTTTTGTGATTCATGCACATGGACCCCAGGTTCCTCTGCACAGCAGCATGCTGCAATTTTTCACCATTTAAATAATAATCCATTTTGCTGTTATTCCTATCAAAATGGATGACCTCACATTTACCAACAATGTACTCCATTTCCATTTTCAAGCCTTGGAGATGAAGTTTTCCCTCTCCATGCCCTCTGTCTGACGTGAGAGCTCTCCAGTGCAGGGTGACAGTCCCTGGACAGAGATCACTGATTGGAAGCTGCCTTATCTGACTGAATCCCTGTAATCCTAACACATAGCTAACAGAAGAAGGAATAAACATTGAACAAAAGACAGGATTGACCCACGTTTCTGGCTGTTATTGCAAAGCCTCACACCCTAAGCAGCAGACTCAAGCTGAAACAAGAAAGAAAGTCTCCATTTCTATGACAACAAGGTGCAGGGCTGGATGAACACAGCAGGCCAAGCAGCATCATAGGAGCAGAGAGGCTGACGTTTCGGGCCTAGACCCTTCATCAGAAAAGGCGGAGGGGAAGGGGGTTTTGAAATAAATAGGGAGAGAGTGGGAGGCGGATAGAAGAGGGATAGAGGAGAGGATAGGTGGAGAGGAAACAAACAGGTCGAAAAGGCGGGGATGGAGCCAGTAAAG